TGTATGACTGCCAGTGGAACCAGGTCACTGGTGTTTATTGGTGATGAAATACAAGATAGAAGTAGCAGGATAAAATGTGAAGTGTACAGGGCTGATTCAGGTCAAACTACTTCACACAAATTGATACGGATCCAAAGCAACCTGCAAAAGCAACCCAAGAATTTCTCAAGGCAAAGAAATGGGATATTTTTCAATGGTCAAGTCAGTCACCTGATCTCAACCCAATAGAGCATGCTTTTCACTTACTGAAAAGAAAACAAACTTTTTGGGGGCAGAAAGACCCACAAACAAGCAGGAACTGAAGGCAGCTGCAGTAATGACCTAGCAGAGCATCTCAAGGGAGGAAAAACAGCATTTAGTGATATCCGGTGGTCATTGACCGCAAAAGATTTTCATCCTTCTTTCAGCTACTCCCTTAAGGGGCTATTTTATTTAAAAAGCAAACAAACAAACAAACAAAAACGCTCATATTTAAAATCATGTTCTTCGGTTACTTTTGAGCTTCTGAAACTGAGGGACTGTGTATAAAAACGGCTTTAATTCCCAAACTGTTAATGCAACCATTTTGTTAAATCCCTTAAATTAAAGTTGAAGGTCTGCACTTCAATCACATATTGACTGGTTTCAGTTTAAAATCTGTTATGATGGCGGCGAGAGGCAAAACTACAAAAATATTGTCATTGTCCAAGAATTAACTGTTCGTATTTGTTAGCATGTGGAGAGTGGAAGCGGGGTCTAATCTGTGACAGTCAGTGAAGATCTCATTATAGTGCAAATGTTCTCTTGTGTTTGATCACTCAGGACACATGTTCATGTATAAGGACACTGTCATTTGTTTCATCGTGGTCCCAATGGTCCATACTGGTGAACCAAAGTCCAGGAGCCACCTCACCATCATGGTAACCAGTTGTTGTTTATGTTATTGCTTTTCCTACCGTGACGAGGCCTCAAGTCTCGGCTCAGGTGTTGACAGCTGCTATCAACTGAACACGTTTTCCTGTATAAACAAATAACAGTGGTCCGCAAGGTGCAGCTCTCCTTGCACCTTGGTAATAGGTGAAGTCGTGCCAGAAGCCTCCATCCTCCATAAAAGTGAAGCCATAATTAAGGAAAGTGTTTTTGCTGCTCCTTAAATCTGAGAACTGATACTTGACGATTAGTTTGAAAGGAAACAGAAGCCAACTGAGTCAGCAGCAGGGGAAGCATTCATGCAGTCACAGAGTAGAGAATTATGCTGAGCTTGTGGATAACATGCTGAAAGCATATCAGCTAATGAGTGCAGAATGTCACAGACGATGTGATTTTTACATTCTCATCTTGACTTTTTATACCCAGCAAATCTGCTCGACTCAGGGACGAGATTTGATGGGCGACCTCTGTTGGTTCTTAAGTATAGAGACGGGTGTTCAGTACAAACACGCCGTAGCACGCTGACCTGTTTTTCCGACAGAAATTTGCTTTAATGTGTCTCTGATATCATCCTCTGGTTTATCTTCAGGATGAGCACATTAAAACAATTATGGTGGGAAATAATTAAAATTCCAGACATTGTGTTGATATTGTTCATATCTGAAATCAATGTAAAGTAAAAAAAAAAAAAAAATAACAAGCTGGTCTGAAGTTCACAGCAGCAAACAAAAATATTTTTTTAGACGAGTATAACAGACGGCTAATGACTAATTTTTTTTTTTATGTGTTCATCATTTGCAAACGGCACACTTGAGGATACATGGACTACTGCTCAATCCCTTGTAGGCTTGTACAGCCTGTGGCCGGCTGGTCCCTGTGGTTAGCGTTGTCACAGCAGACAGGGTGAGACATCAGAAATGAGGTTTGATGAATCAGTGCAGCCCACCCATCTTCAGCCTGAGCAGCTGCCTGATCTGTCACATCGTAAACACGTGTGTGAAAGTGCAGGGACTTACATAATTCGACTAACGTCCAGTTAATATCATGTTGCTTCACAGGTTCAATTAAAGCTGCAGAACATTTTGGTATTGCACAGTGTATAAAATTAGCAGAAGCGCAGTATGCTTCATGTGTTTTATGGCTATTTGAATCACCTGTGTGACCTATTTTAATGGAAAACTTTTTGTTAAAGCAGGAAAAAGGGGGATCTACTGATCCATGCAACATTAAAATAATCAACATACCTGTCTGTTTATTTTGGTTACAGTTTTGAAAAAAGGATATTTCTAAATTCAATCTTGGAGTTTTTCACATGACAGGATTATATTATCTGACGTAAGTGTGCAAAAACCTGGGAGTGTATCTATTTTCTCTACTGCTTATCCATTTTGGGGATGCAGAGGGCTGGAACCAAACCTGTGTGTCAGGGTGAGAGCCAGGGTGCACCCAGTCCACACCTAACATGAATGTCTTTGAACTGTGGATTTTTGTTACCTTCACCAAAGACGTCATGTTTTTGGTAGTGTGTGCGTGTCATTCTGCCTGTAAACACGATAGCATGAACATTTTTGAATGAATTCGGATGAAACTTTGTAGGGCTGTAACAATCCGATCAAATTTCACCCACTGAGGTCTTCAAAGTCACCGTAACGATTTATTGATCAAAAATTGACCAAAAATTTGACTTAGAAGCTATGAAATTTACAAGTGTGGTGTGTATTGTCCACAGATTTAAAATATCATCTCCCATTGGACCTCTGACCTCTCCTTCAAGGTCAACAGATTGATCTGAAGGTCAGAGTGATAATAATATAGAGCCATTTAAAATAACAACAGGTTTTCAGATTGACAAGAACCTGTTGGCATGGCATAATTTGATTGTGACTTTGTTACGTACCTTATAATAACCGGTCATAACCGTTAAAACAATTTGAATACATTTATAATGTTCCAAACTAAGCTTTTCTTTTTTTTGTAATCTTCTTTGGAAAGTAAAATAAACTGATGATCAAAAAAATTCACCCGATGAAGTGAAATGACTGCTGGACGTGTCCTATATCCACACATATAATAAAGAATAAAAAGTAATTATACTCAAAATGATGTCAAGTATAAAAAACGAGTTTCAGCAGAGCAAATAACAAAAGCCTGCACTTTGCACTTGTTATTGCTGCACTACTTAAAGTTCATTTAAAAACAACAATAAAAATGTTTACATAATGAATGCAATCCCATTTCCATAAAAGTAAATATAAATACTCTACAAAGAGTGAGCTGCATGACTGGCTGAGGCTTAACTCTCCGAGTCTTTCGTGTTTAAATGTTAGGTGTAATTTCTACTTCTTTTGTTTTCTGAACAGCCACCCATCAAAAAGAAAAGTCTTAAAAGGAGCAGTGACAATGACAATAATAGAAGAACTGTCTGCAGGGAGCACCCCATTCCCATCTTTGGTACCAGTTGAGAACCAGGCCGGTGAAATTACGTGAAAAAACACTTGTCCTGTGTGCCACTAAATGGATAAGTAACCTGAGACTATTGTCCCGTGGATATGCATTTGAAAAGCGTTTGACCTCAGCTCAGTCAACAGCTGCTTAGAGGGAGCGGAGTCAGGAAAGCAGAGGTGTCCCCCACAGATATGCGGCCAGAGGCACCGTGCCTGATGTCACGTCTGCATGCGTGCACTAGCACACTCACTAATAATAGGTTATCATCATCCGTCATGGAAGTTAACCAAACACTGTTTTGGCATCAAGTCAGGAACGGGAAGGACAACAAGGAGTCAGTGGGACTGAGATATGTCAGTGATAAGGCTGTTATCTTTGACCCTCTCGGCTGTTTTTCACATTTTACATTCTCAGAAACAGTTGATGGCTCAACCATAAGACGTGATTTCCACTTCTTATTCAGGCAAAATGTGGAAAGTGTGCAAATAGTGAGTCTTTAATTACTTGAGGCATCCAAGGACGACTCTTCAGTACCACAGACTCATTTTAGGTTGTAATTTGTGCAACACTGACAAATGCACACCCGTTGTGTAGGAGTAAATCAAAATAGATCAGTTTCTGAAATAAAACCATCCCACAATCAAAGTCTCTTAAATCACCTCAGATGCTCTGTTTGCACTCCAGGAGGTTGTCCTGACCATGTACTCGTGCCTAAATGCACTAAGCTGCTGCCTTGTGAGCGACTGATTAGGTATTTGCAATAAGGAGTAGTTGAATATACCTAATAAAGTGACTAGTGGGTATATATTATGAGTTTCTATGGCAACAACACTTTAATCAGATTATCAGTCTGTTCTCAAAACCTCTGCAGTGCCTCAAAAACCAGATGCTATGTTTTTTTTGAATTTACCGGTTGTAAAATATTCACTGCATCATTTGATTTTGCCTTTTTCCTGTGAAAAACTCATTGCTTTCATATGTTATAGATTTTTTTTCTACTGGAAACAATGGACACAACCAAGAAACAGGTGATGAGGGGGCTCCAAATTTGTAAAGAGTGAGAAGAGCTCAGGGTTACTCCCCCCTCCCCTGAGCAGCAAGGATAACATTGAACACAGGGACGGGGAGAAAGGAGTATTATCTCTTGAAAACAGCCTCACAGGAAGTTGAAGTAATGGAGGTCCCAAAGCTGCTCATGTGACGGACTCTGCTTCTTGTAACGTCCACAGATCAGGTGATAGGTCCTAATAGCTCCCTGTGAGAGGGACTGCTAAAGTCTTTGTCTCATCCTGTTCACAGGATGAATGTGACCAAGAGTGGAAAGTGAGTCTGAAAGATAATACCCTGCGTGACAGTCCAACAATACTGAGCAATTTGAGGGGTTTTTTGAGTGTCTTTGAGACCACAGGCACGCATGCCAACACCAAGGGTTTCACTCTTTACTTGCTTATCAAGACAGTCTGACAAATGTCCTCAGTTGACTTTCAGATCAGTCAGCAGCCACTATCAAGTTTAACTATAACGTGTCAGGACAATGCATATTCAAATGTGTAGAATGAGAAAAAAAAAACCAAACAGAACTTCAATGGACAAAGTAGTGCAGAGAGTTTTATTGTTACGAGTGATTTCAGCATTATGCGTTTCCAAGTTCAAGAATTTTATTTAGCTGAAACACAAAGCTGTTAATTTCTGAGTGACACTAGGTGTAAAGCAGTTGAATACAGTAAACCAAGCAACTCTGAATCAAACTGATTCCAGAAAGTGTAACATACAGATTGAGGCTTTTAATTTCCCTATAAATCATTTGCATGTGGATATTTTTCATGTCTTTAGCTCTGTATGGAAGAGTAGTAAGTCAGTCTCAGCCTGTGAAGCCCAGCTCTTTGTAGCTGACCTCAAGGTCAGCGATGACCTTGCTCATCACGTTCCTCAGGCCCTGTTGTCCAGCGGCATCGAGTCCAGCCTTCTCTGCAAAGACTTTAACGATGACCTCAGAGATCAGCTGGAAGGAGAAAAATTCATTTACTTCAGTCAAGCTCAGTTTAACAGCAAGCATGAGGTGATGGAGCTACAGTAAACTTTGTCCTCTTGCACACTAAGCTCACCTTGAAGTTGTTAATGGGGATCTTGTGCTTTGTTGCATGGCTGTTGGCCAGAGGTTTGAGAATGGCAGCATGGTTGCCTTTGGCCTTCAGCAGTTCGCCCAGTTTCTTTAGCACGGTGGCTCCATGGTCAGCAACAGCAGAGCTACTGGCCAGCTCACCCTGAGGGATGCCGACAAATTTGGGGAACAGCTTCTGGGTCTCCGGGTGCTCCGTGAATAAACTGAAGAGGAAATCGAGCAGCAGGGTCATACCACACAGATCATGGTTTGCATTTTAGCCATTTAGGGTGGCAGTGTAGACGCCATAATTTATCCTACTTTGATTACATCACTCTTATGCACAAAATGTTTATTCCTGGCTGTGATAAGACTGGATACAAACACATGGGACCGCTTTGATAAGGCCCATCCCATCTCCTTCAGTAGAATAGCTCTGTGCCGCCATTATGATCCTCAATATGCTCATGTTTGTGTTGGCACTGGCGGAAGTTTGGAAATTAAATTAGATCAGTTAATGGCGTTTTTCCCTCTTGTCCATTAACACAAATTAGAAGGGGGGAGGAAATCTAAGCAACTGAATATAACCGAGTCAAACATCAACCATGACCTTAAGACAAAGATTTAATATCTCCGTGTTTTAAACAAACACAGATTTAGGCATCATAAAAGTTAGTGATGTGGCAGTGGTTGCCAAGTGTGCAATTAGACAGGTGGTGGCATAAATAACACATGAATTCTATTCTTAAACTGCACTGGAGGAGATGAATTTTTAAACTCCTGGCCACAGGTCTGAGTAATGAGACCTACAACGAGTACAATCTTATTTTTCTTTCCAGAGTCACTGACCGGTTCAAAACCAGGCTCCCATAGCCAGTGTAGTCTGCTTCCACTGGTCCCCAGTACTTCAGAACTGCGTCAAAGTCCCCCATGATCTGAGAAGATGAGGGGAGAGAGTGAAAGAAAAAAAAAAAAAAAAAAAAGTTGCCTGATTATATGAAGCTTGTCAGTTACAGATGCAGTTATCCTGTACTGCACTTCTGTTTGAGTTAATGGCTGAGAACCAACAACAATATCAGTCAAGGGCAACTTGTGAAAGATGGATATATTACCTCAGATGAACTCAGGGAGTCTGACTGGCAACCTCAGTATAGCTTTAAATAGTTTATTTGAAGTGAAATCAGATTCACTTTTAGTTTTAATGCATTTGAGGTCATGAGAACGCTGCGAGATATGTAAACAGAGTGAAGTTCTTACAGATTATCCCACAGTGCACTAATCAGTCATGCATTTCCTTTGTTCTGCTTACGCTAGTTTATTAAGATAGCTTTTAATTTAGCAGTGTTGACATTTTACATTTCCCCCTTTAACTGAACTCAGATTCCCAAACATCCTGAAAGAAAAAAAAAAAAGTTTAAGATTAATTTTACCCCTGAAATGTTTAACTCCCAAGTCATGATATATATTGTTTAATTAATTCTATTATTGCAGAATCCATTGCCTTACCTGCAAGCTTGTAATATATCCTGTGTAGTTACACCAAATTCCTCTTGTCCTGACTAAACCCCCCCAGAGCTGACCTTTTATACTCCCTCCCTCTGTGCTGTCACCAAGTTTGTTTCCCCCCCCCTCCCTCCAGCTCTGTGAGGCTGCCTCTTACTGCACGTCTCCCAAATGTTCCCAATGCCTCCAACGTCTACCTGGAAACTTAATTCCAGGTGACTTAGCCACTTGGGGCATCTTTGGTGTGTTTTGTGGCCGAGCCATCAAGTAGCCCAGGTAGAGTGAGTAAAGTAGGTCATTTGAGGGAGGGGAAAAAAAAAAAAAAAAAAAAAAAAAAAAAAAAAATCCATCCACACACACACACAACAAAAATAACTACATACAAAAATAGGGCTCTAGTTGAGAATTTAGTTTTAGTGTTACCTTTCCAAGCTGCAAATCTAGCATCTTAAAGCAATTTTCCATTTGTGATTTTAGAGCAGCCTACTCACATTAGACAGCAGGTGAATTTCACAGCAATCCCTGCACTAAAACTTCATCCAGTACTTTCACTTATCAGTTTGTCATTAGCTACTCAAATAGTTCTGCAGTAAAACCTGCAGAGATACAGTAATTCTGCTCAACTAGAGCAATTCAAACTAATCGCATCAAAATGTCATTGATTCTAAGCTTCACAATGGATATAATGTGAAGGCAGAACACACGCTATACTTCAGGATCTTTTCCTGCTTTGATCAAACTTTTCTAGATTAATTTCCTAATTTTGACTTTAGATTCAGATAGTGGGTTTCAATTGTAATAAATTTGATCAAATTCCTCCCAAGAGTATTAAAATGTCAGAATTTTTTCAGTCTTGATTTTCTTGAGTCTAGCCAGTGATTTTAGTTTACTAGAAATACCCTGCAGTAAAAACACAACACGCTCCAGTCAGCTTACAATAGTCTGTGCCCTTTTCTTCCATGCTACACTTAAGGACACTTCTACACGCATTACTATGATTTCTACCACCTGAGTTTCAGTGGTGGGGAGGACAGACACTTAGATTATGATTAATCTAGAAAACCCTCTAATGGGAGGAAGTAGTCAGAAGCCTGACAGTTTTCCCAGTACCTTGCATAATTTTATGTGCAAAAACAGCTGCGCACCATGTCATATTTTTATTGCTAATCAATTTATAATTTCACTCTTAAATAGCAACATTTCAACACAGTTAAGATCAGATTATCAGCCATGTTGGTGGAAATACAGGAATCTTTATATCCAACAGCCAAGATTAGTTGTGGTCATGACTGTATGCAAGATCTGATGCACTGTGAATGTAATCAGGGAATTAGATGCTATAAAAATCCAGATAACACCCGCAACCACATGTACAAAATGTGTGATTGAAATTCCATCAGGAGAATATATGTGCAGAGACACACTCACCAACTCAAGAATACACACCAACCCAGGAAGTCAAGGTTATGTAAGACACCAGCAGCTTAATTGTTCAGTACAAACCTGCTGTAATGTTTTGTATAAAAATCATTTACCATGTGCGTAAGATAAATTAATGTACAAACACACTCATGACTAAATATCAGGAAAGCCCCTCTGGTGACCAATAAAACTACTTTACATTTCCATGAGATACATTTGGATTGTATAGCTGGTTCGAGTTTTGGGTCAGTTTGTGTTGGCGAATCACATTTTCTCAGCAAGTTTACTTCTGCCCGAGTCCTAATTATTCAGTTTTCAAAAGGGTACACACTGAACAATGAAACCTCTGTTTCTTTTGATTCCAGTCTCAGCCGATTTGAAATGTATCAGATTCCGTTACTGAGGACTGATTGTTTGGTATTCCCTCCAACCTGAAACCTGAGCCCCTGCGCTGCCCACATGCTTCAATTTATTACTACGCCATTGCACAGGTAGCTGCACGGCAGAATTATTCAAATGCAACCAGTAAGAAAAATGCAAAGCGAAATGTCCAGGCTAAGGCACTGCAATGATGCCGACATGCACACATCGGTAACAAAGTCATATACAACACTCCCATTATAGCTCATCTTAACTAAAACCCTAGTCAATATTTTGACCTTTACTGCCAATAGCAGTCATTTAGTTACTATAGGACAGTAGTCAAACCTTGTAAATGTTTTAGGTTTGCAGGCAAATTGCATCCCCCCCACATAACTGCTAAAGTGCACCGTGTTGATGTTCACAATGGAATCATCTTGCCTCTCAAGCAAATGGAAAGTGTGTACACAGATGCTGCACAGTCCAGCTTGGATGCATTTGAACATAATTTGGAATCAGGTGACACATCTGATCCGAGGTCAAATACAGTTAATGACTTGGGGGGGGGGTAGGCTGCGATCTGCTGCCGCCTTCATTTGTTAAAATTACAAACTAATTCAGTGTCAACTATATAATATTAACCTGACCAGTTTCCTGGGAGAAGTTTGCGTGTTTGCAATTGCTATAATTGAGTATCAGTGTTGAACTAGACATATTAGAAGGCCTTCTTTCGTGAGTCTTCATTCATACTGCACAGTTCTGAAGTCTAGTTGAAAGCAGCATTAGGAAAAGAGCATGAAGCTGTCAAGTACTGCATTTTTCCAGCATGGAACACTCGCCTACTATCCGCTGCAGCATGAATGCACACTTAAGTGTGCAAGACTAGTGTGGCACCAAAACAGTATAGATACAGCCTGCATTTAGAGTGAGGAGCAAGACCAGACAAATGCCCTACCAAGCACTTGCTGCCCATTAGTGACCTCGGGGAAATTTGAATAGACAGGTGGACTTTAGCAACAGCACCACAGGGTGAAGAGGGACAAATGAAGTCAGAGTGAAGACAGACCTTCCACCCCTCCATTCCCAGTGGAAATCAGTTTCAGATCACATCTATTTTTAAATTTAGTGTCCTATAACACATCTTTAACCTCTCCTACACTGCTGAAAGTTGGTGCATTGACTGGGCTGACCTGTCCCATCCCACTTTTCCTTTGGCATTTCCTCTTGGAAAATGCTGGTAAATGGCCACACACACGAAGGGATTCATTATTAGTCACTACTGGGCTAATGTTGATAGAAATTAGGGAGTGCATTCGACATCTAAAATCCAGTTGTGATTAAATCTCACTGAATTCCACCAGGGGCCCTCTGCTGGACTTTTTCACATAACATTGGGGAGGCAAACGACAAGTCCCTCCTCTTCTAAACTGTGATTGGTTTACACTATGGCTTCAATAAGTGTCTAGCCAATAGAATTTCGCGTGCGGTCCAACACCCGGAAGACAGCAGTGAGTGTCAAAGAACCCGAAGTAGGTTGAAGCAGTTTAAACGTTTAAGGAAAAAAAAAAAAAAGTTGTCAGTCAGGTTTTATTTGCAGTGTTTTCAGGCGCAAAGATGATGCAGGCTTTGAAAGGCGTCAGACACGTGACATCCAGCACAATGAAACAAGCAGGTAACCGGCAAGGCTCGTGCTCGTTTTAAAGCAGTCCGAAGTGGGGGAAAGAAATAGTGTTTGCAAAGTAGCGACTTCGTCTACAATTAAAGCACATTCGCAGTCTTACAGCGCCGATATGAGCGAAAATGTCATTCACAGACTTAACAAAAATATCTGGACAGCCAACAGGTTTGTGGGGCAAAGGTTATTGCCCGATTGAACTTGTGATTTTAAAGTATTGTTAACTGTAGGAATAGCGTGTCAAACATGAGGCCTGGGGTCCAGCACCAGCCCACTGAAGGGTCCAGTCCGGCTCACTGGCTAGCTTTGCTAGTCTGAAAACTGCCAAAAAGTCAAATAGCTTTAGTTTCAGTAAGATGTTCAGCTCCTCCTAGTGAGGCGAGGCCAGCATTACTACATAGTTACTGTATGCGAAGTTAAAGTTGGGACTTGGACAAGGTGTTTTAAAGGATACTATTAAGAGGCAAAAGAAAAAAAAAAGTCAAGCTGTTACCCATTTTATAACTAGATTGTGAATATTTAACTTGCTGTATTGAGATTTTAGAGCAGATTAAATCATTTGTGGCCCATTAACTGAAGTTTGACATCCCTGCCACTTTCAGTGGCATGTTGAAGACATATTGCCAGCTTTGCACAGTTTTCTAAAATGTGACCTAGTGTAGACACGCAGCTGAACAGGGCTCCGACCCCATATTAAGTTTAAAGAAAAGTAATAAACTTGCAGAGATAAAAAGGCAAATGCGCAGGTTTTGGCTTACTTTACTTGGTGCTCATTGAGAACTTTCCCAAAGTTTTATGGATCCAGAATTTAGTCAAGTCACTCCTACCTGTGGTAAGGTTGGCATTTAAGTTTCCTGAAAACACAGAGAGAGACACATTAAAGAGTCACATAATTGAAAAATGTGTTAAAAGTATTAACCAAAGAAAGAAAACAAACTATTTCTGAATCAGTAAAGAAGCTCTCACCTTCCTTCAAGACAGGGTACCAATGAGCTGAGCACGGCTTTTATTCCTGTTCGGTTAATTGAGCAAGTGAGACACAGGCATCTGCAATTAGTCAAACAAAAGCTGTGCCCACAAAGCCAAGCCCCGCCTCCAAACAAAGGGGAGTTAGGGCGTGAGGAGACATATTTCACCCACATGACCACCAGGGAAAGTTTTGTTTTTTTTAAATGATTGTTCCTTTACATCAACTAATACATACAGTTGGTCACATGATCAGAAACTAAACCAGACAGATGTCGCAAGTCTTGTTAAACCAGAGTGCGCTGTGTCCAGTTTCAGAGCTCTCTGTGGCAGTCCCGTGGGGGGAGATCCGAGGTAAAGTCTGGGGTCCTGACCACGGACATCCTGTGCTGTGCCTGCATGGCTGGGCTGACAACTGCGGTACATTCAACACGCTTGTTCCCCTTCTGCCAAAAGGTGAGTGTTTTGTACAATGCACATTGACCATCTCCAGTGGCTCCCACTGTAGAAACCTCAGTGCCAAAAATTGAACCCCATGGACAATAATTCTTAAAATCAGCGGATTCTGCTGCTCAGCTCACTCAGGTGTGTGGCGTTCGGTTAATTTGAGTGTACAGCTTGTGCAAACAGGTGCTGCCGCTCAGCTGCTGGAACAGCTGCATCCCATCCAAAAAGACTGGATCTGAGG